AGCAGAGAGTGGAGAGATTCCCAAGACTCTCACTCAAATGTACACACACTTCCTGATGGCACAGATTAACATTAAAGTCACAAAGTACAATGAGAAGAAGGACACTGACAAAGAGATGATTTTCAAACTAGGGAAACTGGCATATGAGCAACTGGATAGAGGCAACCTGATCTTCTATGAGGAAGACCTGAGAGAGTGTGGCATTGATGTGACAGAAGCATCAGTGTACTCAGGATTGTGCACTCAGATCTTCAGAGAGGAGTTTGGCTTGTATCAGGGGAAAGTCTTCTGCTTTGTTCATCTGAGCGTTCAGGAACATCTAGCTGCTCTATATGTGCACCTCTCCTGTACAAACCACAACAGAAATGTGTTTGACCAAATCCCCAAACAGAGTTTGCGGTCAAAAAACTTGTTTCAGCTCAATTCAGAACATGTTTCATTATCTGCTCTGCATCAGAGAGCTGTGGATGAGGCTCTACAGAGTAAAACTGGTCATCTGGACCTTTTCCTGCGGTTTCTTCTGGGTCTGTCAGTGAAGACTAATCAGAGTCTTCTACAAGGACTAATGACACTGACAAAAATCAGCTCTAACAGCAATGAGGAAACAGTTGAGTACATCAAGAAGAAGATCAGGAACATATGCTCTCCAAAAAAAATCATCAATCTGTTCCACTGTCTGAATGAACTGGGTGATCATTCACTAGTGGAGGAAATACAACAGTATCTGAGATCTGGAAGAATAGCAGAAGCCAATCTCTCCTGTTTGCAGTGGTCAGCTTTACTGTTTGTCTTGTTGACATCAGAGCAAATGATGCATGTTTTTGAGCTGAATAAATTTGTTAGAAGAGAAAATACTTCAAATAAAGTTCTTCGGAAGCTACTTCCTGTGATTAAAGAATCCACATCAGCACAGTAAGTAACACAGATGATTGCTACACTGTCTAGACATTTCACTGAAAGCAGGGACGCAGGAAGATGTTTCAGGTTGAGGGTGTTGTCTGTATTTGGGGGGGGGGAGTCATGTCTAAAAAACAAGTCAAAACTCCATTAAGCACAGTGCTGACCCACGTTTCCAATGACTTAGTGGTAGTAGTCTTTCTTCTAGATTTGATATTATATTTTGATATTTCATACCATAAAGTTCTGTGGCTTAACATTTAAAAGCAAAGAGTTTAAGACAGCCATGAATATTATTAATTATTAGTGAATACGATTATTATCATTACACAATTTTTTCACCCCTGATGAGTTTGCCTCCCTGAAGAAGTAATTTAGATATATAACTATCAAAATAATCAGTTCACACATAGGATATTTATGAATAAAATAATTCGATTTTACACAGATGAGACAAATTAAGGCCCTGGAACTGCTACGCAATATTATGGGATATCCGTCAATTGGATGTGTGTTGCATCACAGCAAGAGGCAATTTCAAGTTCTTTTTTACTGTTACCTTGTTAAATGTATTGTACTTAAAAAGTTTCAATCTCTACAGTTTAGAAGACTGCAATATCACAGACAAAAGTTGTACTGCTTTGGCTTCAGCTCTGAGATCAAACCCCTAGCACCTGAGAGAACTGGATCTGTCTCAGAATAAAATAGGAGACTCTGGAGCGACTGCTCTCTCTGCTGGACTGGAGAATCCTCACTGCAAATTAGAGAAACTGGGGTATAATGATTTGGATGACATGATACACCAATGTTTTTTCTGTAATGAAGATATTGCTAAACAGTGTGTTTGTTCGTTGCAGTTAAACAGTGTGTTTGTTCGTTGCAGTTAAACAGTGTGTTTGTTCGTTGCAGTTAAACAGTGTGTTTGTTTGTTGCAGGTTGAGGTTTTGTGGTGTCACAAATGAAGGTTGTGCTGTTCTGGCTTCAGCTCTGAGATCAAACCCCTCACACCTGAGACATCTAGATCTGACTCTTAATAAACTAGACCAAGGAGTCAGAGTCTCAGCTCTACAGTGTATACTGGAAAAACTGAATAATCTGCTGTGAGTCATACATGTTAAATAAATGTTTACAAAGTATAAAACTGTACTTTCTAGAAGCACTGTAAATCAAACCTTTTTGAGCAAAACCAACCTTATAAACAGACTTCTTATATAAATAAAAGAAATTCATATGAATTTATTTGTGCTTATATTGATGAGACTGATCTGCGAGAATATCAGTAGGCTATTAGCAAAGATTTTACATGTTACTTTTTTTAATGGTGTTCGGCAGTGTGTAAATGAGTTAATGTTTCTGAAGTATATCTGCTGCTGCAATGTGACAGCAGTAATGTCTCATACTCATATGTGACTCTGTGTTTTATTTTAGGACTCTCAGTATTTAGACGTCAGTCCAGTTTCCTCAGGATCAGCTGATGGTGAATAAGGAGCTGCTAGAGAGATGCTACAGTCATATATATATATATATATATATATATATGTGTGTGTGTGTGTTCTCGCAGCTCCTTATTCACCATATGGTGAATAAGGAGCTGCTAGAGAGATGCTACAGTCATATATATATATATATATATATATATATGTGTGTGTGTGTGTGTGTGAGTGTGTGTGTGTGTGTGTTAGAATAACAGGCTTTGTAATGTATTTTAAACAGATCACAGATTTTTGTAAGAACAATATCCATATTTAAAACTTTATAAACCGTAATCTCTAGCTTCTGCTAACTGTCGTACACGCGTTCATTCTGGCGGATGACATAGGACATAGCATAAGGTCCGGTTAAAGACATTATAGAGTTTTATGGATCATAATCCATGTACAGTAGGTGTATAAGTTTGTTTTGGCAGAGGTCATACAGGCTAAAATATATGGATAGACTTTATTATTTTGCAAATAACAGAGATGGCTTGAAGAACACAGATAAACCATATATTGTTGCAGTCGAGTGTTTATTGTCTGTTTTATCATTCAAAACATTTAAATCTTCTGTTTACTCAGTTACAGCGATAGCAGTGCCTTTGTTCATATTAAGGATTTCCTGGAGCGTCATCAGTTCTGTTACTTCTGTGATGCATATGTGGAGTTTCTGCGCAAGGGCGCCCTCCGGCTTCCAGTATGAATGAAACAGACATTAAATGTGTTTATAGCGCTAATGGACAATCCATCCTGTTTTGGGTAAAAAAAAAATATTATTTTTTTTAAGTATCGATTCAGGCACCGGTGCCGTTTTAAAAGAATCGATTTGGCACCGGTATCGTAAAAAACGATACCCAACCTTATTATTAATAGATTAATAATTTTGGCTTTTCAGAACAGCATTTCATAAATGCTAATGACTATATCTTACTACACAGTATGTGAAATATTAGTAACTCTGTTAACTTGTATATATGTATAAAATGCTATATGACAAATAAAATACATTTCTGACCACACTGTTTGAAATGTCTCTCACTCTCATACTCACACACACACACACACACAAACACAATTGTAGTCTTAGAGTATAAAACTAAAATAAACGCAATGTACATTGCCTATAGAAAATCATCATACCCTGTGAAAACCTTTACCTTTTTCACATTACACCCTGGAAAATAAAATAAATTAAGTCTAACTTTTTTGAGCTGCATGTACACATTATAACCCTCATCATTAAAGTAAAAATATCATTTTAAAAAAATCTGGAGGATTATTACTTCAAAACCTTTTATTGGTATTTTGTGTGACAATACAGATTGAAATAATGATAACAAAGTGAACAGTAGTATATTGTCCATTATTAATCCCTTCCACAATCCCCCCATTCATATTAACTCAGATGGACAGAAAAACAGTAAATTAAATAAATAAATAAACAATAACAAATTAAATAAAATAGATATAATTAACCAATATACAAGTAAATAAAATAAAAAAATCCCTTCTAACAGATGACAAACATTACATGTTGCCGGTTACAGGTGCACAAGGTAGGCCTTTAATATAGTCCAAAAAGGGATCCCAAGTCTTATAAAAGGATTTGAGTGAACCAGAGAGTAAGCATCTTAACTTTTCAAGTCTGATACAGTAAAAAATGTCCTGTATCCACCTGTCATGTGTCGGGGGCGAGGCATGCTTCCACATAAGAAGGATAGCTCGTCTGGCCAAGATTGTAGCGAAAGCAACAACCTTACAATCTCGGGCTGTCAGATCAGGTCTAAGGGATACTCCAAAGAGGGCTAAGAAGGGATCAGGGTCTATATTAGTGTTGAGAACTTTATTAAATGTATCAAATACACCTGACCAGAAAGTTGCCAGCTGTGGACATGTCCAAAACATATGCAGGTTGCCAGTTACAGGTGCACAAGGTAGTCCTTTAATATAGTCCAAAAAGGGATCCCAAGTCTTATAAAAGGATTTGAGTGAACCAGAGAGTAAGCATCTTAACTTTTCAAGTCTGATACAGTAAAAAATGTCCTGTATCCACCTGTCATGTATCGGGGGCGAGGTGTGCTTCCACTTAAGAAGAATAGCTCGTCTGGCCAAGATTGTAGCAAAAGCAACAACCTTACTATCTCGGGCTGTCAGATCAGGTCTAAGGGATACTCCAAAGAGGGCTAACAAGGGATCAGGGTCTATATTAGTGTTGAGAACTTTATTAAATGTATCAAATACAGTGCGTTTCAGGGGGACGATTAGGAAAGTGAGAAATTCTGGAGGATTATAAAAAAATAATCAGTGAAATGCCTGGTTTGGTAAAGTGATCAGCCCCTTAGAGTATACCATTATAAACTTGCTCAGGTGCAAGCAATCGACTTCCAGATTAAACATCAGGCTAATTGCCCCACCTGACATCAATAGTAGCCTAGTGGTGTTGATTACTTCAGAATACAACAAACTGTTTCTTGAAGATTCCACTGTTAATAGTGCATGGTACGGCAAAGAATTCATCATGGTTGAGAAAGTGCTTTCAAAAGACCTCCGGGATAAAGTTGTAGAAAGGCACAATTTAGGAGAAGGCTACAAAAACATTTCAAAGGCTTAAGCTATCCCTCGGAGTACTGTTCAGGGCATCATTAAGAAGTGGAAAGCATATGGCACCACCAGCACATTGCCTAGATCAGGCCGTCCATCCAAAGTGTATGAAAGAGCCAGGAGGTAGAGGTCTACACGGGTCCAAAAATTCGTCAATTATTTTGAAAGTTAGACCCGGGCCCGTGCAGAACCGAGAAATGTAAAAAATGTACTACCCGGAACCGACGCGCACGTCAATTATTTGAAAGACAGACCCGAACCCCGCCGGGAAGACACAGACCCGACTGGACCCGATCGGCACATGTTCCACAGCAAATTGCTATTAACAAGTCGATAAACAAGTTGCGAAAATTAAACTTTTTGTCTTACCTAATGTAAGAAGCCTTCTCCCTTGTACCTGACTGTGATGCACCCACGGTTAGTATTACCGTTTCATGTTTTAATTGTCATTAAAACCGTATTCGATTACAGTGATTTGAACAATTGAGGATAAATAAATACTGCCCAGCATAAAGCAAAGTTACAAGAAACAGTGTCACGTGCGCACAGAACGCAGGGTAGTTCCGTTTTGTGTGAAAACATGGCAGAAAAGCTGGGAGGTTTTAAAAGTGGTAAGGGAATTATACAAATGAATATACAAATTAATTATATGAATGCAACTTTGAAGGTTTTGTCTGTCTTCAGAAAAGATTTGATGGCATTTTGTTTTCATCTTCACGCAGTGCTTGAAGTGGAAAAAAAGAAGTGCCGGTATTCACCCCCCCCCATTTAATAAATAAATTAATAAATAATAGAATAATAATTTATTAATCAATTATCATTTCGAACTTAACCCTTTTCTTTATTTAAAGGCTGAAATGTGAGGTTTACCATTTTATGAAACTTTTCAAAGCTTTAATTGAACATTTCATTCATGATATTTGATCAACTGTTGTCAGTCATGCTGTCATTTAAAATCCGGACATCATTATGTGTCTGTACTTTTTGGACATATCCAGGCAAATCTCCAGGAGAAAATGAAGCCAACAATTTGTATGAAAAAATCAGGAAGTTTAACTGAAAAAAAAAAAATCAAATGAATAGTATTCAATATTACATAGCAAAAATTAAATTCAAAATAGTTTAGTCCAGATATGCAAGCATTCTCAGTGGTAAAGAGAACACCGATTTGAACGATCTGCTCAATGTATTTGAGCCACACTGAAACATTAGCAGTGCATTAGTAGAGCTGCATTATTCATCTCTTAGATTTAAATCAATTATTATGGTGCAGCCTTATTTTAAATGATTTTTTTATACAATGTGCAGATAAAATTCTCAGTAGTGGTGTATTGTAATTTAGTTCAAGAAGTCATACGCATAGTGCAATGATGTAAATGAGTACATTCATAATATTGTAAGAATTCATAAGAATTGTTGTGTCCACTGTTTATAAAATAGTTTCAAGACAAGATTCTTTAAAAACTGAGGTATGTACCAATGTGTGAATTGTGTGTACCGTTGCAGCCCTATTATAATCTGGACATGCTACAGTGAGTATTAATTAACGTAAGTATTAATCTCAACCGCAGATTAATTCAAAAACTCATTTTGAGATTCTGTGCAGCTCAAACTCTCATTCAGTAGAAGAGATGCTCTGTTGAAAAAGCATCCTACTACACCTTGACCCTTCTATGGAAGCCCATATCTGTCACATAAGAAAAAAAAACATGCTTTGGTAAATCAGAACTATGAGATAAAGTCTTAATTATGAGATTGTTATATTAATTCGCTTATAAAGAGCCAAAAATCTTATAATCACGCATTTCCCCCATCAGCAGCTGTCATAATCAAATACAGCCCTTACCTCTTTATATGGCTGGGAAGTGTATCATGAGATCCAGGATCCTCAGCGAAATGTCCTGATCAGCTCAGTAGAATTCTTACCACTATGAAGCTCGTATTGGAGATTTATGGAGACAG